CTCATGGGAACAGGTTTTGGGGTGTGCAGAAGACCCTGGGGGTGACCTACATGGAAGTCCCCGGTCCCCCCCACTGGGAGGATCTCCCCACAAGTGGGTAGGGGAGGGGTCACTGAGCTGGAGGATTTGTATAAGAACATAAGAACGGCCAGACTGGGTCAGACCACAGGTCCATCTAGCCCAGTATCCGGTCTGCCGACAGCGGCCAATGCCAGGTGCCCCAGAGGGAGTGAACAGAGCAGGGAATCAGCCAGTGATCCATCCCCTGTCGCCCATTCCCAGTTTCTGGCAAACAGAGGCTAGAGACACCATCCCTGTCCATCCTGGCTAATAGCCACTGATCGACCTATCCTCCAGGAATTTATCTAGTTTGTTTTTGAACCGTGTTATAGTCTTGGCCTTCACAACATCCCCTGGCAAAGAGTTCCACAGGTTGACTGTGCGTTGTGTGCTTCCTTTTGTTTGTTTTAAACCTGCTGCCTAGTAATTTCATTTGGTGACCCCTAGTTCTTGTGTTATGTCAAGGAGTAAATAACACTTCCTTATTTACTGTCTCCACACCAGTCATGATTTTATAGACCTCTTATCATATCCCCCCTTAGCCGTCTCTTTTCCAACCTGAACAATCCCAGTATTATTAATCTCTCCTCATACGGAAGCTGTTCCAGACCCCTAATAATTTTTGTTGCCCTTTTCTGAACCTTTTCCAATTCCAATAGATCTTTTGTGAGATGGGGCAACCACATCTGCACGCAGTGTTCAAGCTGTGGAGGTCCCATGGATTTATACAGAGACAATATGATATTTTCTCTCATTCTCTATCCCTTTCTTAATGATTCCCAGCATTCTGTTGAACCTCTAAAAAGGTCCCATGCAGCTTTCAGGGATTTCACTTTTGGTGCTGTAGCTTTTCATTTCTGGTTAACTAACCTCCTCATTTTTGTGTAGTTCCCCTTTCTGAAATTAAACGCTACCGTGTTGGGCTGCTGGGGTGTTTTCCCCACCTCAGGGATGTTAAATTTAATTACATTATAGTCACTATTACTGAGTGCTCCAGCTATAGTCACCCGTTGGACCTGATCCTGTGCTCCATTTAGGAGTAAATCAAGAATTGCCTCTCCCCTTGTGGGTTCCAAGACTAGTTGCTCCAAGAAGCCGTCATTTAAGGTGTCAAGAAACTTTATCTCTGCATCCTGTCCTGAGGTGACATGTATCCAGTCTATATGGGGATAGTTGGGCTGGGTCGGAACAACTCCAGGAGATGTGTCCCTACGAGCCTAGACCGTGGGTCGTGGACAGGAAGCCGAAGGGGCTGTGCCGAGCAGGCCGGTGGGCAGATCACTTTGGGGACAGTCGGTCTGGGGGTGGAGAGACCCAAAGGGGATTGGCCTAAGCCTGGGTGCTGGGAGAGAGACCGTGAGGCTGCCCCAGAAGTGGGACTGGGGTAAACCCAAATGGGGGGAGCAGGATGTGGGGTCTCAGCACCCTGAGCGGTGATGTCTGTAGGAAAACGGGGCGTACGTGGACAGAAGCCCAGGGTTAGTGGAACGGGGGCCAGACAGAGCCCGGGGGTGGGGGGGGTGAGCTGGGGAAAGCCCAGGCCCAGCCAAGCCGCCTGGAGCTCCGGCTCCGAGAGGGACGATGTGACTGACCCGTCGGAGGGAAGCAGCCACCCAGCCAGCTCCTCGGGGGCACAGGGGTGGCAGACGGGCTCCCACTCCAGGTCCCAGGTGCATGTCTCGTCGGACTCATCGGACCCCCAGGGAGCGGAGGGAGGTGGCCAAGGGGGAGACACTCCTGGGGCGGGGAGAGTCTGGACAGAGGCCCCTTGTCACCCTGTGTGGTGCCACCCCATCGAATGCTGAAGGGCTGTGACTGGGGCTACGGGCCCAGGTGTGGAGCCATTCACCCGGCCTATGGCTCAGAGCCCTGGGCAGACACAGCCAGGGGCGGGGGGCTGGTAGTCGGGGTTCTCCAGGTCACCAGCTCTGATGTCCTTGTGGGGAATGCCTGGGTCACCGTAGGACAAAACGCCGCCCCGGTTCCTGCACCAGCCCGGGGGCTGAACTACGTGAATCAGAAGGCTCAGACCAGAGGGGTCAGTGAAAATGCAAACAGCTGGGCTGGGCGCTGGCTGCCCAGGCCGGGCTGGGCTGTAACCGTCATTCTCTGGGCCGCCCGAGGGGCTGCCTGGGCCATGTGCCAGGTGACCAATAAACCCGCCTGGTCTGACAGCACTGGGTGAGTGTCCCTGCAGACGCTGGGCGAGGGGCACTGATCCCTGAGGAGAGGACACGTCTCCCCCAGGGTCTGTCCCAGACTCACTGCCCGGTGCTCCCGGGGTGGGGCAGGGGGGCTGGAGCCCCAGTGGCCCAGTCTCAGGAGGTGGTGAGGCCGCGTGGCTCACC